AAATTGTTTTATATATATCGTGTACTTCGAACATTTATTTTTTTTAAGAAATTTTTACTTTTTTTAATAAAATTCTCCATTTTTTTTTTTAAATTTAAATCCTCATTGTTTGTAGATTTTAATTACGCATATTTTATTTATAATATTATGAATAATAATAAGCAATTCATATTCATTGCTTTCAAATTAACAAACATAAGTAATTATAAAACGAATTATCTAAAACTGCAAAACATGAAAATTTTATTATTGTTAAGAATAAATTTTTTTATATAAATTTAAACGAAAATCTATTACTGATTTATTAATTGTCTGTTGAATAATTATGCTAAAGAAATGAATAAACATATTAATAAAGAACATGTAGAGTTTCCTCTACTAATTTGATTAACCTAAATTTAGTTTTAATGCTATAAACCAGTAAACTGCATTTATATAGTTTACTTCATTGAACATTTATTATTCTTAAGAAAAATTTATTTACTTTAATAAAAATTCTTATTTTTATAAAAAATTTAAATTCTTTATAATTATCAATTTTTATTACATATATTTTACATATGTTATGAATCAAGCTTAACGATTTAAATACATTTCTTTAATGTTAACGAATATATATAATTATTAAGATATAAATTAAATTATATAAATATAACAAACATGATAATTTTGTTATTGTTAATGTAAAATTTTCTTATAAATAATTTTAAAACAAATATATACTAGAATAAACTTTTCATTGAAAAATTCTTTATTATATTTTTAGACCAATTAAATCATTTTCTAAAAAAAAAACAAATATATTTTTTATGTCTTTTAAATTTTGCAAAAAGAAAACAAAAAAAATTAACATCCAATTTATTTTTTTTTATCTATAGCTTTTATGTCTAGCAATTTGTTTTCCACAAAGCTATTTTTCCTTATTCTCGAAAAGGATAATGATGTCTTTTATTAACAAAGAGCATATAGGTGATTCCCTTAATTTTCTATGATTAATTTTAGTTACTTTATATAGAAAAGATCATTACTGTTTTCATTGATTGTTTCCTCTATAATGATTTATTTTATATTGTCTATATTCTAGTAATTCATAGCGCATTATGCTATTTGTATTCAAATCCTGGTTAATAAAAGGCTTTATTAACCTTCTTGGAAAATAAAAGGGTTAGTTAAATGAAGAATACGAAGTTGGTCATGCACACACACAAAAAAAAAAATATTGATGATTTATTTTTGTTTCTACATTTTTTTTAAAAAAAAAGTATAAAGACTGTCAGTAAAAATTTTGTTAAAAAAAAATGCAAAGATCGTCAGGAAAAAAAATTGATTAAAAAAATCAATTAGAAAAATATTTGTTATTAATAAATAAATAAATAAAAAAACAAAAAAAGAAAAAAATTTTTTTTTAGTGAAGGAAATGAAATAGTTTTTGTGTTGAATTTTATAAAAGAAAATTTTATACAAAAATAACAATAAAATTTTCATGTTATTAATATTTGTATAATTTTTGATATTTACAAATAATTATTCATGTTTGTTAATTCAACAGTAATATATATTAATTGCTGAATGTAACTCATAATAAATAAACTAATAATTTACAATTAATTAATAATTAATGTTCAATAAGGATTTAAATTTTTAATAAAAATAAAGATTTTTATTAAATTAAATAAATGCCTATTGAAATTAAAGAATGCTGAATGAAGTAGATTACATAATTAAGGATCATTCATTCAAAGCATTTAAAAATATATATAAATATATCAAAACCGTAGAGGCAACTCTACATGCTCTTTATTAATTTGTTTGTTCAGTACTTTAGTAAAGTCACCGAACACTTAGTTAATAAATCAGATATATAATAAATACGATATATTTATTCTTAATAAATAATTGCATAATAAGCACATAGTTATTTACTCGAATAAATTTTATGATATATAAGTTAAAAATTCCTATATATTTTCTTTATTAATTTCGGTATTTTAAATTACTATAATGTTCTTTGAATAGTTATTCAATAATTGTTGTTCATTCATTTTATTAGTACGGAACAAACTAATTATTAAAAAATACGTAGAGAAGACCTTTAGTTATTTCATTTTAATTAAAATATTAAGTAGATTGTGAACATCTGTTACTTAATATTAAATATTAATTACATTGATTGCTATTTCAGTTAATTTGTATAATACATTATGTGTATAATATTTAACATTACATTTTTAATATTTCATAAAAAAAATATTTTACGTCACCCTTCACGTAAAAAAAAAAAAAGAAAATAAAATCATAATTATAAAAATTTTTTTTTTTAAGTCAAAATCACATATAAAAAAAAGAAATATATATTATTTTTGTATAATTGTATGTACGAAAAAAAAAATAACATAGTAAGTCTATTTCTTTTTTAGTATATTTATTTTTAGGGTGAGTATTTTTTTTATTGTAAAAACTTTTTTATATACATATATTTTTAGCTCATACGTTTTCTCTTCATTTTAGCATAAATAAATAAAAATCTTTTTAATCACTTTATTTATTTAAATATTAATGAATAAAGATCAATAATATTATTTATAAACTAAATACTCAAACAGTAAATCCCTTCGGTAATATAAGGCTTCATTGAACGCTTTGAAAAAGTATGAAATGATAGTGACTTATTTTAAAGTATTTCTTAAGTATTCAAGTTAATTAAGAGTGATTGAGGGAAATATGCACGATGATACGCACAATAATTTTATGTTTGCACATAGAAACAGAAAAATCTTTATAAAAAGAATGAATACTTTTTGAAATGTAGTTAACACATGTTTATAAAATATACATAATATTAGTAATTTATTAGTTGCATGTTCAGTGACTTTAGTAGTAATGAACAAACAAATTAATAAAGAGAATGTGGAGAAAACTCAATAAATTATACTGAAATAAAAAAAATTAAATTATTTATTATTTAAATTAATTTACATAATGTCTAATTTATTAATTACTCGCTAAATGACTTAGTATTGAATAAATTGATTAATAAAGAGTAATTAGAGAAAGCTCTATTTATTATATGTTTATTAAAATAAAAATATTAAAAAAATTATTTGACTTTTTTTTTTTTAATAATATGAAATATTAATTACACTACTTAAATACTATTTTGGTTAATTTACAGGATATTCTATGAATGTATTTTTTAACATTACTTCATTAATAATACATAAAAAAAATTATTATGTGTCATCGCCCGCTCAAAAAAAAAAGTAATTTTTTTTTTTAAGTCATTATTTTTTTAAAAAAATACTAAGAAAGAACGAAAAATAATTAAACTATTAAATGATTTATTAATAGTCTATTCAATGACATTCCTAGCGTATAGAAAAAAACAATTAATAAAGAATAGGTAAAGATGTTTGTACTTATTTAATGAATTAAAATATAATTTTAATTATATGAATTAGTAAACTATATTTACATAGTATACATTATTGAGAATTTATTGTTTTTAAGAGGAATTTATTTATTTTAATAAAAATCTCTATCTTTATTAAAAATTTAAGTTATCATTGATTATTGATTTTTAATAATATTCATTTTACTTTAATGTTATGAATAATTTTTAGTAATTTAAATTCATTACTATCAAAATAACAAACATAAGTAATTAACAAAATAAATTAAATATAACTACAAAACATGAAAATTTTATTATCGTTAATATTAAAATTTCTTGTATAAATTAAAGAGAAATTCATTACAAAGAAACATTTTAAGCATCTTTTCTTTTTATTTTGAGATTATTAAATCATTTAAAAAAAAAAAAAAAGTTAATAAACTTTTTTCTTGTATTTTAAGTTTACAAAAAGAAAACAAAAAAAATTACATAATTTTTTTTTTTACCTTGCGCTTGCATGGTTATTTTTTTATTTTCCATACAGATATTACTCAATATAAACCAGTAACATAACTTTTAATGAAATTCCAATTATCATTTTGAAAATTAATATAAATGAAAAAAAAAAAAAATTTCATAATATTTTAATAACTATTTTATTGTACTACATAATTTTTTTAATAAACATAAAAATTTATATAATAATATTCTTTATATAAATAAATACACAAAAAAAGAAGCAAAGAAATAAAACAATATGCATTAATGAATTAATATATTAATTAATATCCCCTTTCAAAATGATAAGAGAAATTAATCCTAGAACCTCTATAGAAGCTAGCATAAAATAGTCATAATTATTAATTAAATTATCGTATGTATGTCTGCATATTACACAATGTAAAAGGAAAACATTTTAAAAAAACATTATAGATTAAATTTATTTCTCTAGAACCTTAATCACATTAATTCATTATGAACTTTTCATTATTTAATTATTTTATTATATAAAAATAACATATGATTGATTACTCAATAAATAAAAATGTATGACAAGAAAAAAATTAATTTTAAAGTTCTATATAGATATGTTTTTGGATAACTCTTTATTTATCCTTTCAATAAAAATTAAAGTATTGAAAAAGATAAATAGAACATTTTATTAAACATTTGTAGAGTGATTATAAATATAAGAAATATTTTTATTGTATGGATAGTGATAGACATATAATATAAATTATATATTTATTAGTTATAATAATAGTTAATACCATTTAAGAAATAGTGCATATAAATTTACACATCTATTCAATAAAGCACTGATTTTTTAAAAAAAGAAAAAGAAATATTTATTTTATTACTCATTTGTTATTTACCCAAATAATTAAAAAGAAATAATGAAAAGTATTTGAATTCGATGTATTATTAACATATATTTTCAAAAAAAAAAATTAAAAAAAATAAAATGAGAACAAATTTATAAATTTAATTATAAAGTATATTATATAATATATTTTATTTATAAGAATATATGAAAAAAAAATAAATATAATCAATATATTTAAAATAAGTTACAATGAATTCCTAAGATTTATGGAGACATTTAGGATTAATCTACATTTTCTTCTTGTTCATCTTCGTGAAAATTCTCAAAATACCCCGAATCTACAGATATTAAATCAAAATTATCATTCCTACGTCGTCTGTGATGTGCCTTTATTTTGATAGAATTATAATTACTTGAATATATATAAAAAAAAATGGAAATGTAAATATGCATTTTTAAACGTTTTTTTTAAATTACCTGAACACATCGAAATAATCTACAAGAAAACAATTTTACAATAAGGTAAATTACAACAAAAATAAAAAATAAAAGTTTATACGTTTTTATAGGTTTATAATTAATATTAGTTATATTATGTATCTTATCCTCTAAAGTAGTGTTTAAAGGTACTGCAGGAGTTGCAGTGGTGATACTTTGGTTATAGGACATAATAAATAAATGATATATTTAATGTTATTTATAACATAATTTACTTTAATGTAGTTAAATTCAAACCAAAATATTGTTGATAACTTTTTATATAAAAAAAATATATTATATTGATTATATATATAAAATTGTGAAAAAAAAAAAAATAATAAATAAAGAAGAAATGTTCCATATTATATTAGTTTAAATTCATTTAAAATATTGGTAGATTAATATTACGAAAAAAAAATATACTTAAAAATTGAAACTTCATTTTTAACCTTAAATAATTAATAACACCCATTATATATATTTTCTATAAAATAAATTTTAGAGAAGGTTAAATAGGTATTTAAGAAAAATTAGGATTTTTTAATTTAGATATATTGTTTTTATGTAAATAATTATAGAATCATAAAAATTAACTAAAAATAACTTAACATTTAAGTAAATATACATTAATAAAACATATTCTTTTAAATAAAAAATAATTATATTTTATTTAAAACCTATATTGAGAAAAAAATAATTAGATATAAAAGAATACGAAAAATTAAAGCACTCATTATATTCTTTCATGTTTACTAAATATTTTTCATATATATTTAATTTAATATTAAATTTAAAAAAAAATTAATTTTTTAAAAAAAAAGAGATTTTTTTAGAAATGTTTTTAATTATACTAATTTTTTTTTTTTTTACAAATTTAAAATAATTAATAGAATTAATAGAGTTATTAACTGTAAATATAAAAAATTTACTAATTCAAATAAAATATTAAAATATTGCTCATCATTATATATTATTTTTTTTTTTTTTAAATTATAAAGTGACACAAATAAATAATAATTTTTTTTTTTTTTTTTTTCTTCTTTAAGCAATTCTAATTTGTTATTAATTTATTTCATTAGTGAGCTATTTTTAGTATATAATGTTTTTTAACATGTATGTTATTTTAGTTCATGTTATTGTAGAAACACTTTTAGTAGTATATAACAAAATATCAATAATTTTAAATTTTAACAAATTATAATAAAAAGATATAAATATTAATTGTTACTTTGTTTATTTAAATTTATTATTATTTTATCAGCATGTATATAATTAATTTCTTTTTTTATTATATTGATTCTTTAATTATTGCTTTAAAACTTTTGTTATGAAATATACAATTACTTCATTAATTTTCATTATTATTATGAATGTAACAAATTATTTATACTAATATAAGAAAAAAAATTTTTTTATTAGGAAAATAAAAATTAAATAAAAAATTAACTAATGGTAAAACTTTTAAATACATAGATATGTTATATCTAATAATTTTTTTTTTTTACTTAATATTTGATTCTTAATTTTAAAGGAATATTTGCTAAAAAAAGAAAAAAAAATATTTTACTCTTAAATTTTAACAAAAATAACGGAATATTATATAAACTTATTTAGATATATATATTATTTATTATAAAAAATTCGAAATATAAATTTTATTAATGTAATTTAAATTTTTCTTTTAAATGTTGTTAACTTACAAAAAAAAAAAAGAAAAAATCACAATAGAAACATATAGAAATGTTACATTATCAAATAAATAGTTATAAAATTTTCATTAATTTTAATAGTTTATTTTATTTTATTACTTTTTATTAAGTTAATATATAGTTTTGTACTAAAAATTACAACATTTTTTTTGCAAATTATCCTATGTACATTCCTTTGTAAATTTTTAGAATTTATTCAATGAATATGTGAAATATATAATCATTTTTTTAAGCATCATATTTTTTATTTCGTATATTTTTTACAGAAAAGAAAAAAAAATTAATAACATAAAGTATTTAAATAAGGAATGGCTAAAAAATTTTATATTCATTATCATTCCTTATATTATTTATAAAAATATTTCTTTTCAAATGCGTTATTCTTAAAAAAATTTATTAATACGGAAAATATAAATCATTCCTTTTATATATTTTTTTTAGGTTCATTTTATTTTCTTTATATTTTCTAACATTAATCTATTTTTATTTTTTGCTCATTTGCGTGAAACAAAAAAAAATTTAATTGAAAAATTAATTCTAAATAAAATAATTCATAAAAAAAATGTATTAAAAAAAAAATCTTTGTCTTAAAAAAAAATTAAATATTAGGATACTAATAATAGCAAGTACTACCTTATATACTATATAAATTAAAAAAAAAATATAAATATAAGATGATAGTTTTTAAGTTGAAATTACAATGAAAATGAGCATTAAAACAATGTATTAATACTTAAATCATTATATAAAAATATGAATATATTAAATATTTGCATAAATATTATGTTTAATAAAAATGAAGAACTTATTATAAAAAAAAAAAATAATAAGTTATAATTTAAGTATAAAAAGATTTATTAATACTCTTAATTTTTTTTTTTTATAAATCAGTTGCATGTATAACATAATATTAAATAATAGTTAAAATATTTATACAAAAATTAACAAATATCATTTATTCTTCCTATTAGTAAAATAGTTGAAACAAAATATAATGTAATAAAAAAAGTTGTACTTAATCAAAATTATTATTAAATTTTTTTTCAATATATAGATAATTTTATTTAAATAATTTGCATTTCTTTATAATAATGGTATGAATATTTAAAAAAAAAAAAAAAGAAAAATATCATAGAATAAAGAATTAATATCAATAGAAGAAATTAAATATTTAGAATTATTTATGTAAAAGAAAAATTTGTATAATTGGTTTATTAACTGGGTGTTCGGGGACTTTACTATAGTACAGAACAAACCAATTAATAAGGAGCATGTAGAGATGCCTCTACGATTTTTGTATATTTATATTTATTTGCTTTGAACAAGTGATTTTTAACTATAATCTACTTCGTTCAGCATTCTTTCATTTCAATAAGTATTTATTTACTTGCAGAAGAAGAAAAGACAGGAATAAAGGATTTAATAGAAAAGTTTACATAAGATAAGCAATAAAAGATATAGAAACAATGGATAGAANACAAAAAATTAACTAATGGTAAAACTTTTAAATACATTGATATATTATATCTAAGAATTCTTTTTTTTTACATAATATTTGATTCTTAATTTTAAAGGAATATTTTCTAAAAAAAAAAAAAAAAAAAATATTTTACTCTTAAATTTTTACAAAAATAACAGAATATTATATGAACTTATTTAGATATATATATTATTTATTATAAAAAATTCGAAATATAAATTTAATCAATGTAATTTTAATTTTTCTTTTAAATGTTGTTAACTTACAAAAAAAAAAAAGAAAAAATCACAATAGAAACATATAGAAATGTTGCATTATCAAATAAATAGTTATAAAATTTTCATTAATTTTAATAGTTTATTTTATTTTATTACTTTTTATTAAGTTAATTTATATTTTTGTACTAAAAATTACATCATTATTTTTGCAAATTATCCTATGTACATTCCTTTGTAAATTTTTAGAATTTATTCAATGAATATGTGAAATATATAATCATTTTTTTAAGCATCATATTTTTTATTTCGTAAATTTTTTACAGAAAAGAAAAAAAAATTAATAAGATAAAGTATTTAAATAAGGAATGGCTAAAAAATTTTATATTCATTATCATTCTTTATATTATTAATAAAAATATTTCTTTCTAAATACGTTATACATAAAAAGATTTATTAATACATAAATATAAATCATTCCTTTTTTTATATTTTTTTTAGATTCATGTTATTTACTTTATATTTTCTAACATTAATCTATTTTTATTTTTTGCACAATTGAATAAAACAAAAAAAAATTTAATTGAAAAATTAATTCTAAATAAAATAATTCATAAAAAAAATGTATTAAAAAAAAAATCTTTGTCTTAAAAAAAAATTAAATATTAGGATACTAATAATAGCAAGTACTACCTTATATACTATATAAATTAAAAAAAAAATATAAATATAAGATGATAGTTTTTAAGTTGAAATTACAATGAAAATGAGCATTAAAACAATGTATTAATACTTAAATCATTATATAAAAATATGAATATATTAAATATTTGCATAAATATTATGTTTAATAAAAATGAAGAACTTATTATAAAAAAAAAAAATAATAAGTTATAATTTAAGTATAAAAAGATTTATTAATACTCTTAATTTTTTTTTTTTATAAATCAGTTGCATGTATAACATAATATTAAATAATAGTTAAAATATTTATACAAAAATTAACAAATATCATTTATTCTTCCTATTAGTAAAATAGTTGAAACAAAATATAATGTAATAAAAAAAGTTGTACTTAATCAAAATTTTTATTAAATTTTTTTTCAATATATAGATAATTTTATTTAAATAATTTGCATTTCTTTATAATAATGGTATGAATATTTAAAAAAAAAAAAAAAGAAAAATATCATAGAATAAAGAATTAATATCAATAGAAGAAATTAAATATTTAGAATTATTTATGTAAAAGAAAAATTTGTATAATTGGTTTATTAACTGGGTGTTCGGGGACTTTACTATAGTACAGAACAAACCAATTAATAAGGAGCATGTAGAGATGCCTCTACGATTTTTGTATATTTATATTTATTTGCTTTGAACAAGTGATTTTTAACTATAATCTACTTCGTTCAGCATTCTTTCATTTCAATAAGTATTTATTTACTTCAATAAAAATCCTTATTTTTATTAAAAATTTAAATACTTAATAAACATTAATTATTAATTAATTATAATTACTAGTTTATTTGTTATGAGTTATATTAAGCAATTATTTTATATTGCTGTTGAATTAACAAACATAAACAATTATTAACAAAAACAAAAATAAATTATATAAATATTAATTACATGAAATTTTTATTTTTATATGTATAAAATTTTCTTTTTTAAAATTCATCATAAAAATATTTCATTTTAATACTTCTATTCCCCAAAAAAAAAATCTTTTTTTTTTTTTTTTTTTTTTTTTATTTAATTCTTAGTAACAAATATTAAAAAAAATTGATTTTTTTTTAATTATTTTTTTTCCTGAATATTTTTACATTTTTTTAATGAAATTTTTTTTTATGACAGTCTTTGTACTTTCTTTTTAAAAAGTACAAACAAAAAAAAATCATCAATTTTTTTTATTTTTGTGTGTGTATGCATGACCAACTTCGTATACTTCATTAAACTACTCCTTTTATTTTCCAAAAGGGTTAATGGAGCCTTTTATTAACCAATAATATATAATATTAGTATAAATTAAGTAAAAATCTCTGTAATATAATATATATATATAGATGATATAAAATGATGAATGTTAAAAAGTGTGTTTTTAATAAAAAAAAAAAAATTATCACTAAAGCACATTATAAAAATAGTTTTAAAAATATTTATAAATTTTTACCAAATTGGTTATTCTAGTTTGTATATACAATAGTATTTTTTAATTTTCAATGAATTTATGTAATAAGAGAAAATGTTTGAATGAATTAGAAATATAACAATTAATAATTTTATATACACAAAGCTAATGCTTTGTTTAGGAATATTTATCATTATAATGTTTCTTGTATATATATTATTAAGAAATAGAGCTTTTTTTTGAAAAAAATATGTGAAGAATTCTTTTTTTAATAATTGAACTCTTCAAATTTGAATGAAGTTCATTTATTATATTAGTGTATTATAAATAACAAGAATACAAGAGTCTAATATTTTAATTATAAATATTTAATTATTATAATGTAAAGATATTTTTTTTGTGATATTCACATATGTTAAAATGTGGAAATTTGTATTAAAATATAATATTAAAAATTTATGGCTTAACTATGAATCAAAGTGACAAACATATAATTTAATTAATAAACTGTTAACATATTTATTTTAAGAATATAAATATTTTTTTATGTATAAATTAAAAATATTTAATACATGCTTTATAATATTTTATATATCTTAAAAATTTATATTATTGCGATTCATAATTATTTTATAAAAATATTTTTATGAAAAAAATTAAATATCATTTTCGTCTTGTATTATTTTATTAAAAATTACATATATATATAATTTTTGACTTCGTTGGATAAATCATATTTCTATGTGAAAGTTTTAGAATATTACATAAGTTACTTCTTTATGAATACATGTTTAGACATAATCATGAATTAATGAAAAAATGATTTCCATAAAAAGAAAATAAAATAAATATAATAATATATATTTTCAAGTATTACAAAATACCTAAACGCTAAAGGTTATAAGTTCATCGTATAACTAATAAACAAACCATAAAAGTTTCTCTAATAAAAAATGTATAAAAATATTTTCTTTTATTTAAATAAATAATAAATTAAAAAGGAGAAAGTGAAAAATAGCCTTAATCATGTTAATGTGTAAGTTATTAGAAAATTTATTTAAATTCTATTAAACGACCTAATTTTTAGATCGTAGCACTTATTACATTATAAGAAAGTAAATGAAAATAGTATCATTATAGTTGGTTTTAATAATGCCATGAAGAATTTTTTGTATAAAGAAATAAAATAAAAACTCTCCTTTTTATATCATTTCATGATTTCTGTAAGCAAATTATATACTAATAAAAAAAATAGTCTTAATTATTTATAGGTGTGTTTATATTTATATAAATTTGTTTTTCCAAGAGAATTATTCTTTTATATATCAAAATAGACAATTATAAAAATAATAATAACTTAAGTTTAACAAAGATCGTATTAACTAAATTATATCTTTCTGATGAGGTATAAAATAATAAGGAATAATAAATAAATAAATAAATAATAATTTTAGAAGCAATGATATTATTTATTAATAAAAACAGATTTACAAAATAAAAGAAAGTTCTTTCTCAGGAATTATAATGTATATTGACAACGTCCTGTATTGTAAAACAATTATAGTAATTATAATTATATTAATTTTATTTATTATATTTCTTCTCAAAATAGCTTTCTTCTATAATAAGCATAATTATGATAAATATAACTAGGAGATTATATTTTAAAAGTGAATAATTTAAAACGTTCTCTTACATAATTAGTTAAAAATATAATTCTCATATTTATATTTTTCATATTTGAAATTACATAAATGCTACAAGTAAATTTATAAAAATTCATAAAAGATAAATTTGATTATCACTTAAAGACTCGATTAATCATATATTTACATTACAATATTTTATAAATAGGTTAAGTATAAAATATATTTTTTAAATTATCATATTTGACATAATAAATTTATATTTAAAACAATATTTATTTATATCATTATTAATAACGAACATTATAAAGCGTCATTACTTTTAATACATATATAATAATTTAAATATTAGTTAATAATAAGAAAAATATGCCTTCTTAAATTATATATAAGTGAGATACAATATATTTTTTATTTATTTAGATCAAAAATATTATTTTATGCTAAAAAATATTGAAATTCATTAATTTTTCTTTAATATGAAATTAAGGATTTCCATAAGAGGAAAAAAATGTTTCTAATATATGAAAACCCACTTCTTATTAAAATGATGCATATGTTATTTATTAACTGGATGTTCAGTGACTTTCGTCGAGTACTAAACAAACAAATTAATAAAGAGCACATAGAGATACCTCTATGATTTCGGTGTATTTATATATACTTTTATATGCTTTGAACGACAGATTCTTAATTATGTGCTTTACTTCGTTCAGCCTTGTTTGATTTCAATAGGCATTTATTTACTTTAATAAAAATCATTATTTTTATTAAAAATTTAAATACTTATTGAACATTAATTATTAATTAATTGTAAATTACTAGTTTATTTATTATGAGTTACTTTCAGCAATTAATATATATTGCTGTTGGATTAACAAACATAAAAAATTATTTACAAATAACAAAAATTATACAAATATTAATTACATGAAAATTTTATTGCGATATGTGTAAAATTTTCTCTCACAAATCAAAAAAATAAATATTATGCAAATTAAACTATTTTATGAAAACATTATTATCTTCTTAAGATCTTATTCTTATTGGTGTTAAATCTTACTCTCGATTTTAATTTTACCAATTTTTCTCTCTTTATTTTCCAATTCAATTATTTCATTCCTTTCATAAAAAAAAAAAAATTATTTTTTTTTTTTTATACGTATCTTCATTTTTCAAAAAAAAAATATCTTAAAAAAAATTCCAATAATTTTTTTTTTTTTTTTTTTTCGCGTTAGTACAACCAACTACGCATTCTTCATATAGTTAGTCCTTTTTATTGCCAAATAGGTTAATGAATCCTTTTATTAACCATTATGTTATTAAACACTATATATAAATCTAATATATTTAAATGAATTAGAATGAAATAGATACATGCTTAGAACATGTTAAAATATTGCAAAGATGCTATTTCACCATTGGATTGTCAGAAAAAATGTTTTTTTTATAATAACATTGGTGATAAGAAAGAAATTTATGTAAAATTATGTTTTTATAAAAACATAGTAAATACCTAAATATAATTCTCGAATTGATTGGTATACACAAATACAGAGATTAATGAATTGAAATAATAATTTGTTTATAAAAAATTAGCGAGGAATATCCAAATATAAATTGAAATGTTAATATATTTTTTCATAGTTGTAATATAAATAAATTGATATATTACTTTCTTAATATTATGTATAAAGTGTCTCTGCATTTCACCTCATATGGTACCAAAGAATATACATATATTTAAATTTTTAAATTACAATAGATAATTCATACATTTCTTATATATATTATTTTTAATAAAAATAAAATAAAATATATATTTTGATTATACAAAAGAATAAGATGAACATAAATATTTCACTATGAAAGCAAATATTTTTGTTTTTATATTAATACATAAAAGATTCATTGTTTTATATTGTATTCGAAATACATATAGCACCATTTCACTTTCCTTTTCTTCTCCACTTCTTTTATATTTTCATATTATATTTGAAAAAAAATATATCAAAAATATATATTTCAATTTTATCTTTCTTTTCGAAAATACATATCAAAGGGCATGGTTCATTTTATGTCAATATTTTAGTATCAAAATGAGTATGTACATTTATATTTTTTTCTTAATCGTGTCTCTATTAACATTATCTCCGCTAAAAATCAATTTAATTACTATTTTATTAAATAATTAACGAAAAAAAAAAGTTTAAAAATTTTCTTTAGTTATATAATCGTGCACATTATAGATTTTAGATTAAAAAAATACTATATCTTAATAAAAACAGAAAACACTATAAATATAAAACAATTGATATTTTAATTATTTACAGTTTACAATATCTTTATAAATAAACATAGGAATTACTCATTATAAGGACAAAAAAAATTACATAATTTATTTTTTTTTTTAATTTTCATATAATTAATTAAAATAAAAAAAAAAATTAATAAAAATATAATAAATTTATATTAAAGTCTTACATGGCACCCTATTATATATGATGTATTAAAATAATATATAACCCATGGATATTTATATAATATTCATTTGATACACACATCTTAGTAACACAATTTCATTAAAGAAAAATGATGATAACGTTCTTTTAAAACACTTTATCATTTTTTATTTATTATGATTTCCATAATATATATTAAAATTTCAATTTATTTTATTTACATTGTATTTTCAATACATTTTTAACCTTGTTGTGAATTATCTGCACGTTTTTTTTCTTCGTTGATAAAATCATCAGTCAAAATATTTTCCCACTTTTTTTTTGTACTCATCTTATGGTTCTTCCATACTAGTATATTTTTATCTATAAAATCTTTAAATTTTTCGCGTGTCCATGTTTCTTTCTTATATATAGAATAAAAATTTTTATTATCAATAGTTTCCATATTTATTAAATCACTTAAAACGCCATGATACCATTTATTCCATTCCTTTTTTATGAAACATTCCTCAAAATTATACTTATTCGTCAGTGAATAAAATATATATTTTAAATATTCTATTATTTCAAGGAAATTATTTCTCTGATCACCACGTACTTGCCACCATAGTATATATATATCTTCTATGCTTGGATTATTGTCTAAATTTTGAATTCTTTCAATTATTTCATCTTCACACATTTGATAATTTAATTCTGAACTTCTTTTACCTAATGAAATTGCGCAACCTTCATTTTGTATTTTTTGTTTGCCCATTTCATCATTCATTTCACGTTTGTCCATTTTAGCATGCACGTTATCATTCTTCTTTTCAATTCGATCACTTTCTTCTAGTATTTGTTTTTTTTTCGATTCGCTCATTACTTCATGATTATGTTTATCACTTTGATTTAGTTCGGACTTTATAGAACTTCTATAGTTTGACTGCAATTTTTCATCCTCATTTATATCAAAATTAGTTTTTTTTTGCTTTGAATCTTCCCCTTTTTCAGGGATATGTTCAGCTAATTTTCTGTTATACACTTTATTTAATTGTAATTCTGAAAATGCATTGTCTTTAGATACGCATATATGCTATAATAATATTTAAAACATATGTATTGAAAAGATTTATATATAAACAATATTTTAATTTAATAACTTAAAATAGATAATATTGTATATGTATTTTTAAATTAAAAAATTTATCTTACTAATGAGAAGAGATATAAAACGGAGAAGAAATACAAAATAAAAAGTTTAGAAAACAAAAAGTTTGAGAAAATCCTTTTTTGAAAATTTTTTTTCCCCCTATTAAATGAAGAAACATCTAAATTACTTATACTTGCATTACTGGATACTAAAAATCTTCGTTGTAAAATAAAATTGATTGTGTTACTATGTCTCATCTTTAATATATTTTTGTAAAAAAGAAAATTTTTGGAAAAAAGATAATTTTTATTTTATTTATAATATAATTTACGCAAAAACAGATTTTTATAAAAGATTAATAGCTGTGTTAAAAAAAAAAAAAAAGTACATTTAAATTATAATTTTATACAATTAAAGAAAAAGTATCATAGATGATATAAATATATATTTTTTTTTTCATTAATAAAAATTATATTTAATTGAAATAATTCGCTACAGGCTTTTACATTAGAATAATTACAATGAATGAAAAGTTATATTTTTAATTATAGATATGTTTAATAAACTTTTTAGAGTTTACTTTTATTTTTATGATAATATTAATAAAAAAAAAACTATTGTTTTCATTTAATTATATGGAAAAAAAAGGAATATAGAAAAAATTAGTTCTAAAATTGTAAATTTCATTTATTCTTATTTTTTCTATATATTTTTATTATTTTAAGAATTTTTATTCATATATAAATTTTAAAGTTAAAAAAAATTTACAAAAATTTTTATAAGAATATAAATAAATCCTTTTAATTCATTTCTTATTTAGTAATGCACTAATCATAAAGTAATAAAAATAAAAAATTTTTAATTTAAATTAAATAGGAATATTAATGAATTTATTATATGAAATAAATTTTTATAAATCAAAAAAATAAACCTATTAATTTTTATTATAAATATTTTTTTTTATTCTATATATATTTTTAACTTTTTGCCTTTTATATGCTAACTATTTATATTGATATTTTTTTTTGAAATGTGAATATAAAAATCTTTATTTTAGTTTTTCATCATATTTATTTTTCAGAAATTATTTGTAATTATATGATTTTAAGGACTGTATTTCATTTTTTCTATTTATAATTAGAAAATGAGAAAATGAAAAAAACTCTAAACGGAATGTTTTTTTTTGAGAATATAAATGAATTATATTTAAATAAGAGAGAAGAGTGAATGTACCTAGAATGTGCAAGAAGAAAGCATGTTAATCATAAAGAGATCTTAGAATAAGAATAAAAACTGATTTTACTAAGAAGGGTAAAATATTGATAATATTATTTTTTTCTGTTATATAAAAAGAAAAAAAAAAATTTATTTAATAAAAAATAATTTTTTTAGGAAATATTGTAAAATATTTGTTTATCTTAAATATATATGATTTATGGTTTTATTTTACACTACTTTTAAATGTTTATTTAATGATGTATAACTCATTTTAAATATAATTTACTTGATAAAATATAAAATATATTAGAATATCAAGTAATGGAACAAAATTAATTCATTAGAGTTAACTAATTTACATAATAAAATCAAAATATATTTCACAATAGAAATATATTTTAAAAAACAAAAATGTTT